AATAAATGTTGTTTTAATTCTTTAGGTTCGTCGAGAACTCGAAACAATGTGTTCTGGAGAAAGACCAGAGGCCATCGTTCTCATTGGCGTTGAAACACATGTCTGTGTGGAAAATACAGCTATTGATTTGAGACAGAATGGTTACGAGGTTCACACTGTGGCAGATTGTTGTTCTTCGCGTTTCCAAGAAGACAGACTGCTTGCTCTTGAGGTAACTACCTTTTTTTTAAATTACTATTATATTTGTATCAGAATTATCGAAATATACTACAAATTAATTTTTTTTTTACAGAGAATGAGGGACATAGGATGTCACATAGCTACTTCTGAACATGTTATAATGAAACTTATGCGAAATGCGGATCACGAGAAATTCAAGGAAATATTGAAATTTGCTAAAGAAGGAACTCTATACACAGGATTGGTGCCTGTTTCAAAGATATAAAAACTTTGATATTAATTACGAAGATTAATTACCTTTAAAGGTCCAACAAAATCAAACTTAGTTGGTCTATAATTGTTTTGGAACATTCTTGTTGCATATACTATTCATATATTTACTTCAATGATAAGATGTTTTGCTATATATATTTTATATAAATTTTTTCTCTACACATTTTATAGAAATATTTTGCGCTGAAGGTGGAGATAAAAAATGATATTTTACTAAGGCATTGATACTTTATTTGTAAGCAATATTAAAGATGCAATGTTTTAAGTACCCAATGAAAGAAAATGAATAAACAAAATAAATAACAATTTGCTGTTTCTTAGGCACTCTTTGTGGACAATTACCGTGCTCTTTTGTAATGTGTTGCTCACGAACTAAATTTCTCCTCTCTATTGTAGTTTGAAACTATAACNTAATTTTTACTTTTAAATTGAATACAGACTGGTGTTTGGAGCCTTGAGCCATGAAAACATTAAAATCTATTCTTATACTGACTATTTAAAAAATAAATATTCTTAATCACAAGTATCTGACAAAATCTAAACTCTGAGAGAAAACACAAGCCAAGTACTCTTTTAGATCTCATGTCTACTTAGTACCCGTTGAACCAAATCCTCCCGCTCCCCTCNGTGTATCATTCAAAGAGGCGACCTCTTCTATCTTTGGATAAGAGATCTTTTCACAGATCAACTGAGCTATACGGTCACCTGGTGCGACNTCGAAATCTTCATTGCTATGATTAAACAGTACTACTCCAAGATTACCCCTGTGTTGAAACAAATAATACAATGACGT